AAATATAGGCGATTGTCCTCACATTGGATAGGTTTACCGGTACTACTACTACTACTACTACTACTCCTACTACTCCTACTACTACTACTACTACTACTACTACTTCTACCACTACTACTACCACTACTACTACTACTATTACTATTATCATTATTATTATCATTATTATTATTATTATTATTATTATTATTATTATTATTATTATTATTATTATTATTATTATTATTATTATTATTATTATTATTTGTTGTCCTTTTTCTTGTTATTCATACCTTTTATTTTTTCTGAGAGCATCACATTCCTGGCTCACCATTATGCTTATATTATGTTTGGACATTGCTTTAATTTTATTTTTGTAATTGCAATATCCCCCAGTGTTTACTCTTATAATTCTCATAGTGCTATTTCCGGCCATCTAAAAGTGTCATGGACATAATAATTCCCATGGTACCATGGTGGTACTGAGATGTCTTCTAATCTTTACGGAATTACAGTATCCACCCACTGTTTAATGTCATATTTTTTATGGCAAATTTTCTTCTAAGCTAATCTAATTATTGGAATATCCACAATGAGTAATACATGGGGTCCGTGAAGACATTTGACAAGTCCAGAGGTGTCCGCGTATGCAAAAAGATTGAGAACCACATGTCTATAGAATGGTCAATGAAGGATGATTGCTATCCCAAAACCATGTGATTCCTCACTGGACGGGGACATTATTAATAATATATTATTCTACATTATTATTAATTCTGTATTCTGTTTAGCATCATCTATAGAATGTTAAACAAAATATCAAAATAAGAGATTGATTTTATACAATGTGATTTTAACAATGTTGTCGGAGTGAAGTATGTTTTAAACGCATCACACTCTAGCTAATTCATAATCGAAGAATGTTTGGACATGTTTTGCCAAATAATATTTTTAAAACAGTTATTTTTATTCAGATTAAGCACAACTTTTCCCTCCTTTTGTGGCTGCGAATTGGCAATTACATTTAGAAGAAGTAGAGTATCTGATGTTAATGTTATATGATGTCTGTATAATTGTTACAATTTTCCCTTTTTATTAAGGCATTGATATTTCAAAAGATATGATCGACGTTGCAAGACATGTTAATGTTATATGATGTCTGTATAATTGTTACAATTTTCCCTTTTTATTAAGGTATTGATATTTCAAAAGATATGATCGACGTTGCAAGACAAAAATATCAACGCACAAACGTGACGTATGAAGTTGCAGACGCTAAAAACTTTGTCGAAAACTTTCCAAAGTGGAAGGGTACCTTTGATAAAGTTGTTTCGGTCCATGCTTTACACTGGGTAGAGGATAAAATTAGTGCAATGCGTAACATCTACGATTGCCTAACAATCGGCGGGGAGTGTTTTCTCTTGTTTTGTGGGCCGATGCACCAAATGCTAGGCCAAAATCCAGATGAGCTGCCTTATTATTTAAAACATCACAGTAAATGGGAAAAACACCTGAAGGTTTGTAAATCTTTAGTAATTTATTCGATTATTTTGAACCATATTTCAAGAAGGTAGACCGAAACGGCAATGCTGACTTAAAGCGCCCCTAAAAAAAAAAAAACAATAAAAAAGCGAACAACACAATTCAATTTAATATTGAATAAATATAGACATAGACATAAAATATAGACATTTAAATAAATATTTTACGACTATCGTTATACTAGACTACTTACATGTTGCTCTTTCTTTAGATAATTATATTCAGGCATTTCAAATAATGCAGTTTTAATTAATTAAATGTTTTGTGTAATTGATATTTTGTTGTTTCATTTTAGATTTAAAAGTTATAGAAGCCCTTAAGTTTTTGTGTATGTTTTTATTGGCCTATGTAAGTGTGCGTCAGCATTTCCAGGGCGCATAGTATGGTGAAAATGCTTCTTACATTAATACAAATAAAACTAATTGTAAATTGATGCAGTGCATAATGCGAAGCGGCCTTTTTCCACCTGGCCCGTTGCCACCCGGCCTTTGCCACCCAGCCTTTTGCCACCCTAGGTCCGTTGCCACCCGGCCATTTTCCTCCAGGTCCGTTGGCACCCAGCCTTTTGCCACGCGGCCCGTTGCCACCCGGAGCGTTGCCACCTGGTCTGTTGCCACCGTAGGCCCGTTGCCACCCAGCCTTTTGCCCCCCCCCGGTCTGTTGCCCCCATAGTTGAATAGTAGTAGGCCTATTCATTGTAATCGCAGAAATTTTATTCTCGGTATTTTTGCTAAACTACCGCATGTGTACTGAATGATGATTGATGGGTTGTTTGGCAATTCGTTGCGGTTAACCATCATGAAAGGCACACGTGTGAGTAGCTTCCTGATTAGCGTTCTATGTTTATTTGTATGTATTTAGACGTACATATGTATAATTATATGTATATGCTTTCTGAGTATGTACTGGTTTTCGTTAGCGTGTATGTTTTTTTTACATTTTTGTGAAGGCAGAACTTCATGAATTAAAATTATTGTAGCGTTATAAATTGAACAGATTATTTTTTATTTGATTTAATTGACTTACCTTTGAGTGTGGAAATAATAAGGAACATAAATATAGTGACAGTGATGAGAATAGCGATGATAAGCTATTATTATTAACATGTTGAATATGTTAATGCTGCTACTGCTATAAGAAATGGGCACTACATGCCAAGTGGCCAAAGGCCGGGTGGCTTTCCTTTAATTTAATGTTATTCCCTTCTGTTACTTTCTCCAACGTTGCCATTTCCTTTTCTCTCCTTCAGTACATTTAATTTCGTTCCTCTCTTGTGTCTCTTCCTTTGAACTCTTCTTCATTTTTTTATATTATTTTTTAGTGTGTAGTTAAGCTTATTATACTTTTTATTACGGGTGGTCAATTTGCCCATAAAGCAATCTGGAGCAATCCTCTCCTTATATACTGTAATTCATTTAGGTGTAATGTAATTCACTTATGGTGTACATCAATGTCAGATGATTCTTATTTGTAACCAATACGTCAATTGTATTTTTAACGACGCACCTCTTTTAAGTTGAATGTCACCGATGTAAAAGGTGGATGCCAATAAAGTAGTAATTTTGTCTATAGCCTTTCTTTATAGGGTTACGTTCATAGAATGTACAATCTGTTCGACCTGGATGACACCCGAAAATTGTTGGAATCAGTAGGTTTTAAAGTACTTAGTGGAACGTCACACACGCCATGTGAAAATGTCGACATCTCGAGTCAAGACGAATTAGACGGTAAGGTATTACAGTATTTTTACAGTACAGTTACTGCCGTTATACTTTGCTTCCTCTATAGTATAGTGTGCTCTAGCTTTGCTATATAAATTAATTTAATTAGTCAAACTAATTATAAAATATACATAAAATATAACTAAAATATAGGCTTCATTATACCTTACAAATCTACATTTTTCACAGAATATTTTTCTCCAAACAACTAATATTTCAAACAAAAGAAATTTTAGAAATTGTTTGAAGGTTTAAATAATGTGAGGAAATGAATTCCAAATAGGTGAAATAAAAACTTAATATCAAAACAAATAAATTCAAGCAAATAAAGAAAAAACGAGATTCATGTTCGTTTGATCCATCGATTGTATTCATTTTGTTCACAGAATACCTGCGTACGCTCCTTGGGCACCTAGTATACTTACCACGAGAGTACCACACAGAGTTTCTTCAAGATGCGAGTGACTGGTGTAATAAAAACTTTCCAGTCAATCATCTAGGAAATATATACTGTAAAGCGATGATAATTGTCGTACATGCTATAAAAAAGTAAATTTATATAATGAGTTACATGACTATCATTCTTTTTCTTCATATTCGAGGTCGTCATCTATTATAATATATACTTAAGTTAGTTGTCTAATTTTTATCAAAATGATATTGTTATTGATTTCACAGATAATAATTTCATTTATATGATATTATATGGTTATTGTGGGTTTAAACAAAAAATATATTGGTCTACATACGCATTTTGATAATAACTTTGGATGTAAAAGTATAACCGCACAATTCCCTATCAGTTTTCTTTCTTTAGTTCACGCATTCTATACCATTAATTTTGTGTTGCCTTTCTTCCTAAGTTACTACAATCTGTTTGCACTGTTACACATCGTTTGTCTTCTACATTACTAGACAGGGACAAAGTCTGTCTCTTATCCACATCTAGATGTGTATAAGAGACAGTGTATATGTTTTCTGAGTGTGTTAGTTGTCTAATTTTTTTCAAACTATTATTGTTATTGATTTCACAGATAATAATTTCATTTATATGATATTATATGGTTATTGTGGGTTTAAACAAAAAATATATTGGTCTACATACGCATTTTGATAATAACATTGGATGTAAAAGTATAACCGCACAATTCCCTATCAGTTTTCTTTCTTTAGTTAACGCATTCTATACCATTAATTTTGTGTTGCCTTTCTTCCTAAGTTACTACAAACTGTTTGCACTGTTACACATCGTTTGTCTTCTATATTACTAGACAGGGACAAGGTTTCAAAGCGGTGAGCACAACTTCCTCAGGCACACTAGTAATACTTCTAAAATGTCTCTAATTTGAAGTTGATGAGGCCGTGTGTGTATGGTATGAAATGGTAACCTAATAATTGTATTTTTGAGGAATTTATTCAGGTTTAGATAAAATATCCTTCTGTTTTGCACATAATGCTAATACGGCACATGCTCTTGTCATTTCTTTTTTATATCAATCATTTATTGTTGAAACGAATTACTTTGAAAATTCATATAAAAGGTATGAAATGTGATTAAGAATGTCTGTTGTTGATGATTCCGCGTAAGATCGACACCATTGTTCTTGTTGTTGTTGAGTCGTGAGTACGAATCACGTCTCGGAATTTCATAAATGTTTGATGAAGCGTGCATGTATGAATCTAGTGCCAATTTTTAGATATCGTGTTAACAAGAAATGGAAAAAAAAAGAAGATCTCTGACAAAAACAAGAGGTGATCCGCTAGCGGAGCGGATCACAAAAAAAAAAAGATCTCTGACAATAACAAGAGGTGATCCGCACTAGATGCGGATCACCAATTATTCTATTTTATGAAGTTTAAATAATAACTAAAGGAATGTACAGACAACACTCCTACCAACAAAAGGACGCATATCTCCGCTCTCGAACACAGCGCGTGCATACAATTGACATTTCGAAATCGTATTACGTGAGCATTAACTTCGAGTGAAGGTTGATTGTAATGTACACTCATTTTGCGCGTGCGCTTTATAACGCGCGCGTACGCGTGCGTCAAAATTTTAAAATGGTCAAAATAAATTTTTGACTAAATTAGAGCACGTTTTAAGCCATTTTGAGCATTTCAACATTTTTAAATTTTCGGCACCGCGTGCGCATTTTTACGCGCGCGTCACGTACAGAAGTTCAAAATATTGTTTTTTTTTTTAATGTTTTAGGTCCCTGACACTGTATTCACAAATTTCCAATCTTTTTTGGTCATTTAGGGTCAATAGCAATGCCGTACGCGCGCATAGAACATAAAAGCACATGTGCGCGTTTTTTTCGGCAAAAATAGGCCAAAAACATGCCTATTTTCAATCAATTATAGCTTCTTAAAATGAAAGGTGACCCCAAATTGTTATTACATATTCTGAAAGCACATGAGTTGTACATATGATTTTATAGGTCATAATGGCTGATCGGACATTATGACGTCATCATATTGCCATCTCAATTCAACAAATTGAATATTATCGATGACGTCATTAAAAAAATGCGCATTTGAGCGTATCTCGCTTATTCTTGGGTCAATTTTCTTCCACCTTTGAGTATGTTATAGCTAATTCAATTCTATTTCATATACGTACACTTTTTTACATTTTGATGACGTCATCTTGGTCAAAATGTAGGGTTTTGCTTACCCCCCTCATCTTTCTTTCATTAAACCTTTGATGACCCCATAATCACCTTAATCATTCGTGATTTCTGAATCATATTTAGTGGGCATAAACTTATTTTTTTTTAAACATTATATTTTTGTGCGCACGTAATAACGCGAGCGTTCGCGTGCGTCAAAATTAAAATATGATTTATATCTGGTCTTTTTTTAATCAGTTATAGCTCCTTAGGATGAATAGTGACCCCCAATTTTTATTACAAATTCTGAGAGCACATGAGTTGTAGATACGATTTTATAGATCATAATGGCTGATCGGACATTGTGACGTCATCACATTGCCATCTAAAATAAAAAACAAGAAAAAAAATATATTTCTTTTCTCAAAACGTTGATGACGTCATATCTTCTTAACCATTTGTCATTTCTGAATAATAATTAATGGACTTATACTTCAGGTCAAGGTTAAATGTTAGGTATCCTACTTTTTTGTTTACGCGTCTTACGGTGCGCGTACGCGTGCGTCAAATATTACTTATGCTTATAATTATGCCTTTTTTATAATCAAACATAGCTCCTTAGGATAAAAGGTGACCCCCAATTTTTATTACATATTCTGAGAGCACATGAGTTGTAGATACGATTTTATAGATCATAATGGCTGATCGGACATTGTGACGTCATCACATTGCCATTTATATTAAGAAAAAACTCAATTTTTATTTATGACGTCATTACTTTTTATACTCGTTTGAACGTATCTCGCTTATCTTGATTGTCTCCCACCTGTGAGTATATTATAGCTAAATCAATTCTCTTTCAGACCTGTCCCTTTATTTTTTATTTTTATCATGTCAGCATGGTCAAAAAGAATTAATTTTCGGAGCCCTTTTATCTCTCATTCTTAAAAGATGTAAAGAAATAGAACAGAGAGAGGGCGGTAGACTGTATTTCGACGCCATCAGACTGATATATATATATATATATATAGGTTATATGAAGGGAAAATTCGTGTGGCATTACCAATTAACAGGCGGTTTTAACACTTGACAATGTTTAATTTCGTGTGCCATTACTGTACACGCACACATCGTGCCGTGCGCGTCTGTTAAAATTTTAAAATTCTCCATATCACTATTCAGATAGTTTAAAGAACGTTTTGGGTCATTTTCAGCATTCCAAAACTTTCCATATTTACGCGCCTTACGTTCATTTCCACGCACGCAACACGTACTGATGCAGGAAATCACGTTTTGTTATATACTTTGTGTTCCTGACACATTATTCATATCAGGAGTCACTCTTTGTGCTATTACCTTGCTCACGGGCGTCAAGACGTACGTGTACACATGCGTAAATCTTTTAAAATGCTCAAAATTATTCTTTTTAAAAAAACTAATTACAGCATATTTTAGCATGACAATTTTCAATCAGCACCGCCTGATCTTAATGAGGGTCAAAGTACGGCGGATCACCGAACTCGTCCTCAGTGACGAGTTCAAATCTAGTTTTGACTCTGTTGTTATACGCTCAACAATCAGCCGCATTTGAACTTATTCTGTTCTATCAACTTCAGTTACGTAACTTGGGGCATATAGAGTACCACAGTCGTGTCGTCACAACACCAGGTGGCGCCCTCTCGACGTTGATTACCGTTCATTACGCCTGAATGACTTCATAATCCTAATGGTATAGAATAAGCTTTCTGGAATAGGCATTTTAAAACCTAATAATTACCATCAAAATCTACTAAAACCTAAAAACTCCCATTATATGTTATCAAACACACAAATAAAATATAATATATATTTTATACAAGCTTTTTATAATACATACCCGCTTTTATTTCCGGTATCTGCTGTTTGTCATCACTTCAACAAGGTGTCTACCGATTAGTGGAAAAGGTGTATAAAAATTAAAAAAATATTGGCGTTTGTGAGCAATACATTGTAATTTTATATAGGTAAGTAGTAAGCATATGAATAATTTTAATGCACTAGTTAGTTGAAAACTTCATTATAATTTCTTTCGTACGTGTCTTTTTTCTGCATTTTTATAAGCAGTCAGACATTGCCTAGCGCCTCGCGGATGGCGATTTTTTTCCCGTACGAAACATTTGCATGAAACTTCACTCGGGCCATCTTGGATTGACTCGACTAAGTTCGATACGAGGAACAAGAGCAGACACTTCGCAATGTCGTGACGCTCGAGTTTTACTATTATTGCTCTTTCTCTGTTACTATACTATAAATACACATGCCTAAACATTACCACATTTAAACATGTGTATTAACTGTTATAATAAAAATGTTTAAATATTATATTAATATTCAAACACGTGCCCTAACCGTTATAATACACATGTTTAAATACTATTATAATAAGCTTCACCGGGCACAAAATGGTTCGGTCTTGGGATGCCAGGGTGCGATTTTTTTTCCGTACGAAACATTTGCATGAAACTTCACTCGGCCCATCTCGGATTGACTCGAGTGAGTACATACGAGGAACAAGAGCAGACACTTCGCAATGTCGTGACGCTCGAGTTTTACTATTATTGCTCGTTCTGTGTTTACCTACGGTAGACCTATGAAACTTCACGGACTTATGTGATGTACTTCACTGTGTAACTAACTGTGACCTTCTTGGATGTTTAGTATATTATCTACAACAACAACAGCTAGTACCTCCTGTTATACAGTGTAGATAGGTACAGTTATACCAAAGGCTAGAGAGAAAGAGGATAAACTATAGGCCTAACTACAGGCTGAGGTCTTACCTAGGCCCCTCCTTAAACTAGGCCTAGGGTCAGGCTGACACAACAGTCACGCTTCACATACTGACATGGACTGAACTTTTGGGGTGGGGGGAAATGGGACAAAATTAAAGCATGAAATGAAAAATAGAGCGCATAAGAGAAATATTATTAAATAAATAATATCCCATTCCGGCGTTATTGAACTTGTCCAAACTATCATTGTAAATGTAATTAATGCTAAATAATAATAATAATAAAAATAATAATAATAATAATAATAATAATAATAATAATAATAATTTCAGCATTAATTAACTTTGGCCTAAGCCTTGTAATGAAGAACCTACAGATACATTTACTAGGCCTATAAATAATAATCGCCCAAGGGGAATATCTTTTTTGTTATTTCCCCTTAACGTCGTTTTTTTAATTGTTCTCTAATTCCTCCATTGTCTAAGTTCCCCTTAAAGTACAGGTAATAATAATAATTAATAATAATAATAATAATAATAATAATAATAATAATCATTTCAGCATTAATTACCTTGGCCTAAGGCTTGAAATGAAGAACCTACAGATACTATTTACTAGGCCTATAAATAATAACTATAGCAAGGGGAATATTTTTTGTGTTATTTCCCCTTTGTCTAAGTTCCCCTTAACGTACAAGTAATAATAATAATAATAATAATAATAATAATAATAATAATAATAATAATAATACTAATAATATTATTATTATTATTATATTATATTAATTATTATTATTCTCATTATCATTTCAGCATTACATGTAATTAACTTGGTCTTGCCTTGTAATCAAGAACCTGCCGATTACTATGCCTCATATTAATAACTAGCTCATTTCTACATTCATTTGATGTTTTGCCATTTTGGCAGGTCTTATGGCATCCAGTATTTTAGAGCTGCCTATTCTCAGCTCTTCTCTTAATTTGAAAATAACTGTCATTCTGTTTCATTTGATCAGATGAAGAAAAACGCGCTTTTCCTTACTCTTTGTGCTTTTCCCAGAAAGCGTTTTTAGTAGGCCTAGGTAATTATGCAAAACCCAGGCCTAACTAAAAAATTAAAATTGTCGTAGTATGTAACTCAAGTTAAAATAACACTTTTCATTACGGTACTCG